CAACAACAGTAATGAAGGGAAAAAAACCAAAGATGACGTTCCAAATCTGTTGTTGGTTGGTTGTTATTGTACGATGGATACATTCAATTTTGTTACTATTGTCTTCTTCTGGAAGTTAAAATACAGTCAAAATTACCCTCCTAATGCCAGCCAAATCGGCGGCACTGTTCATATATTGGCTTTGTTGATCGTTTCCAACCCCCCCCCCCGCTCCCTCGCTGACAACCATACCCATCCATCCGTCTATCCCATCCGTTCAACCAACAACGACCTGCCAACCAGTCGACCTGTTTGTTTGTACGGTCTCAAAAACCGACTATAAAGCTTCAGCAATATCTGTGCTCGTTGTTCACCGCTGTTCCATCAACATAGCACAGTGTTTTAAAAGAAATAATGATACTGTTGTAAATTCTTCGATTTTTCCTTTTCTGTGGAAACTTAAAAAATTGTTGTGACCAGTAAGTATTAATTTTTTTTTTTTACTTTTTTTCTCTTATAGACAACCTTGATTTTTTTGTCTTAATTTTTGTGGTAAAATTGTCAAAAAAAAAATTTTTCAATACATAATTTTTTTGAACAGTAAACATTGGATCAATCAAATGACAACAGTTCAGTGATCAATTTTTTTTTTTTTTTCATCGTTTCACAGTTACCAAAATTGTATAACAGTTTTGTTGGTATTTGATTATATCTGTTTATTAGGGAAAAAAGTTATTTCTCCTCTCTATTTTTTTTGTTTTTTATTCAGTTTTTTGTTATTACTTAACTGGAAGAAGAGGAATTAGATTTTGATTAACAAAGAACAATAATTTTTTTGGGTTTCTCAACTATATATTCAATTTCTTTACAATCTTTATTGTTGGGTAATTAAACAGTTGACAGATATAAGTATTTTTTTTTGACAAAATTATATTGAAAAATGCGGCTAAATCTTTGTTCGTATTAAAAGATAGACTAAAATTTAACTATTTGACGATTAAGTTGTATTTCAAATAAGTTATGGTTAAGATTTTGATAGATAACTATTGAACTGTTGCCAGTCTAAAAAATAGTCATTCAGTTTTTGTACACTTGAAACTTTGAATTTAAAAAGTATCCAAAAAAAAAAACAGAAGAATTCTTTTAATTGTCTACCTTTTTTTTTTTGGCAGAGAAGAATTTAATGTGATTGTTGAAAATAGTTGAGAAAATATAATTAACATTGAATAAAATTCCTCTTTTTACATTTTTTTGCCTTCTTTTACATTTTTTTTTTAGGGTCATCAGTACCTCAATGTACCGAATAGCCTTGAAAAATATTCTAATATTGGTTGTTTGCTGGTTCATCGGATTTGTACACACCGAAAAGCTAATTAAAGGTTATTGTTGTATTATATGCAGCAAAAAGAATCTTTCATTATTTTCGGAACACTCCAACTTCTTTTTTTTTTTTTGCAACAAATGAACAATGCTCAGTGTTTTTTTTTTTTTTCATTCTTTTGTCAACAATTTTTTGCTCATTAATTATACCAGTTGAGTAGTAAATAAGCTTTGCTTTTTTTTTTCTATTGTTTTATTTTAGTTTATAGTCAAAGGGCATAGGTTTCAGTGGGGGTTATACGATTAACTATTTTTGTGACAGATAAAAATTATTGAGATTAAAAAAAAGGGTTTGAAAAGAGAGAAAAAAAATGATTGAATCAATGTTTAGGACAACAAAAAAACACAGAAGAATAAAATAGTAACAGAAAAAAAAAAA